TTATTATTATTATTATTATTATTATTATTATTATTATTATTATTATTATTATCATTACTATTATTACTATTATTATTACTATTATTATTACTGTTATTATTTTTCTTGTTATTATTACTATTAGTAGTTAACACTGAATTAATCGATCTGTGCTAATTAATATAAGCTTAGAGCATTAAGCTGTCATACAATAATAAGTGATTAGTTAAAAAATAAAATAAAATCGTGAAAAAAAATCTATCCAAACTAATACCATTTGAACAAAAAGTTCATTTTAGCTTAAAACTTTTATAAATTAAAGTTAGATTAATGATAAATATCTCCGATTACCAATGACAACAAATTTTTGACAATATTCGATTTACTCCATTCAATTATTAATTATTTTAAAGGTGGGCTTAATTATAAATTTCATGAAATAAATAAAATTCCATTAACTAATAATTGGATAATAGTGACAAAAAAAGAAAAAAACGGAGGAAACTCAAACATACGATTTTAATTTCACTTCCGCTAACAACAAAACCAACGCGTAAATTTTTGTTTGGGATAATTTCTTGAAGTGATCGTCGTAATAATCCACGTGGTACAGTAATTACAAGTGGTTCCTTAACACTTGATACAGTAATTACAAGTGATTCCTTAACATGCGGTACAGTAATTAGTGCTTCTTTGACATGAATTTTTACTGATGTTTTGTTTATAAAAATGAGAACAAAAGAAAAAATTGCGCCGTTTTATGCATTTTTTTTAAGAAAAAAAAATATGATAATTTTAAAACAAATCACACAAATGTTAAGTTGGCATTATTTTAAAAACTATTTAATTAATTAATTTGTTAATTAGTGTCTAACGTATACAGATAATTTTTTAAAAAATAAAAATTCCAGAAGCTTCAATATTTTCTTATCAACCTTTCGTATTACTCGTGATGGACCTTGTTGATTCATAGATTTCATAATCAGTCAGTTATATGTTTATATATGAAAATTTTTTGAATAACCGATTTCTGTGTAATAGAAAGTTATTGATAAATATTATCAGTGATATATGATAATGGTATATTTCATCATTATGAATAATAACATCATTTATCAATTTGTTGAAAAATTTGAAAACAAATCATTCAAATGTAATTTTTAAACTTTTTGCATTTCTAAATTTGTAAAATTATTGATAATTTAATTATACAAAAAAAATCTACCGGTAACTTAATTAGCAATTAATGGATTTAATTAGAAGGTTAGATCTACAGCAATTCAAAAGCTATACTATTTGAATTTGAAATATTTCATAGTCAGAAGGAATAGAAAATTTATGGAAAATTTTATTTTTTAGGTGGTTTACATTTAATTGAAATTGATCTAACTGGTTTCTAGTCGTTAATTAAGATTTGTGTCAAATATATTTAACTGGATAACAACCAATTGATTAGATTTGACTATAAATAATTGAACCGGCTGTTAACCGGAATTAAAAAATATTAATGAATACATGTAAATCACTAATTTAGTCATTTTATAGTCATCAAATTATTGCTTTCAATACATTCAATTTTGTAATTAATTTGAATAATTTATGCGAATCTTTTCAAATAACCAATAATACAATCCATTGATTTTTTTTTCTTTTTCAATTAATTTTTGATCTTTTAATTCGAAAATTTGATTTTTCCTATTCAAAAAAAGAATTGAAATTCCAAATTTATGACATTATAAAAATGATAATTTGTAAGAATTTAGGCTGACAAAAGAAAAGAACAAAAAAGGAAAAGTTAATGAATTAATAAGGAAAGATTGGTATTGAATATCAGTAAGGATAGAATCAGAAATACTTTAATGATTAACTCTAGAAATATGAGATAGTAAAAATGTGTAGGAATGAGATGTGTGAAATGATACATTCGGGAATAACCGGGACAAAAATGTATCGAAATAACAAGCACTAATCATATTATCATATTATCATGCACTTATCAATCAATTTTTATAAGTTATTTGTAAATATTATGCGTTTTACACATACATTTTTATGGTAAAATTTTTTTTCAATTTTAAATTTTAGAAAATTTATCTTTTGACAAATTGTTTTGTATCAGATTAATTGAGACGAATCTTTCCCACTATAAACTAAATTTGTTGCAGAACTAAATTTATATTAAATTTCATTTTTATTTTCATAGTTATTTGGAATATTTCAATGATTAAATGAAGTTTTAAATATCGCAAGATATAATTCAACAATCATCTCGGATTTTTAATCATTTATCATAAAGCTTAATTTAATTTTATTAACATATTTCAAATGCTAGTAAAAATTTTCACTTTGATAGAAATTTTTTATCTAACTCATTAATTGAATTGTTTTAGAGATATGAACATAATTAATTTGCTTAAATGAGCTAAAAGTAATTAATTTACTTAAAAAAAAACATATTTCAAATGCTGATAAAATTTTTCATTTTGATAGAAATTTTTTGCTTGATTCATTAATTGAATTGTTTTAGAAGCACGAATATAATTAATTAATATTCTTGAAAGAGTTAAAAGTAATTAATTTACTTAAAAAAGGAGAAAAAAAAGCCATGCTAGAGTGTGCCATAAGAATAATTAAGACTATTTGTTGATAAAAAAATTCCAATGTTTTACTTTAAATTGCATTATGATGGTGAAATTCAATAATTTTAATCTAACTTTATATTGAAGTAATCTTTGTAGTGGGAAAAAAAAAGATTTCATATTTATCCAATGAAATTTCTTAATTTCAAAAAAAAGAAAATTAAATTGATTATTCTTCTTTTCCTAGCTCTTTTCAAAACTTTTGCTACAGATATTTCGTCATATTTTAATCTTTCTAATATTTATGATTGTTAGTATTGCTTAAGTTTATAAAATATTTAAAAATTTAGGAATGAGGAAAGAAATGTATTGTATAGCTGAAAATATATACAATTTCAATTATAATTAATTCTTACTCTTTCTTCTTCTTCAAAATTCACCTGTCATTTGGTTTAAAAATTTAAATACTATTTGTTGTATAATACGTGAACATACAAATGAAGAAATACAAATTTAATTATAATTAATTTCATTTTCTTTTTTCTTTTCTAATACCACCTGTTGCTTACTCTATTTAAAGCATTTACATATCATTTGTTTGATATGAATGAATGAATGAATGAATGAATGAATGAATGAATGAGTGAAAGAATGAAGGAATGAATGAGTGAATTGATAATGAATTTTGAAACTTTTCTACTAACTATTGGTTTTATAATATGTGGTCTTCCATCATTTCTTATCAATACTATTGTTTTTATTGTTATCATTAAAAAAGACAATTCAGGTAAGCATTAAGTTTTTTTTCTTTTCCGAGATTATAATTAATTATTCTTATTCAAAGTATGTGGAAAACTTATTATTTAATTAAAAAAATTTACCACAAATAATTAAATTAAGTATAGCAAAAATAACTTATTTAGAC